ACAAGAGAAAAAAAACTGTACCACCTCGAGTCTAGAAACACAAATCGTATTTCCTTCCTCTTACACAGGAAACACAGGAAAAATCACGTAGAAGACCATGATTACTTCACTGTTCCCTCCTCTTCTCTTCCAGCTCCATCTCCTCCTCAGTACTTAAAGTGACCCACTCCCATTCCAGCATGGAATCTTTTTTTTTTTTCATAGCAGCCTGTGGCTCCCACAATATTCGTGCCAACTTTCTCCTGGATAAAGTGGAAATCGGTAAGGATGCTTGTCATCCTACCAATCACTCTTTTTTAAAAAAAATTTTATTGAATCAAAATCGATTATACATATTATGGGGGTTGAACATTGAGATATATTGATCAAATCAATATTACTAGCATATATATTGTTACAAATCATAATTATTCTTTATGCCTCTTGTCCAATCTCTCCCCCTCTCCCCTTGAATTATCCTAGATTTCTTCTCTCCTTCTGAAAGAGTAATGCTTACTCTGTTGATTTGTTGCCTAGATGATCTGTCCAATGCTGAGAGGTGTGTTCAGTTCCCCCAATATTATCATGGAGCAGATGCTTATTCTGTCACTCTGGAATGGACTTTGTGGGGAGAGACATCCTCTTCTTTTCCTTGGTCTCTGCTGGTGACTCTCCTTGTGTCAATGCACTCCAGTAGCTGGCAGGCCATCTGTGTGGTGATTGTGGTGTCTAGCTGCTTTCGTGGCAGCCACGGTTATTGTGGTGGCTGTGGTGGGCCACCCACATGGAGGTGATGTTTTTGGCATGCTCCTTGGCACTGGCAGTGTGCCTGGTTGTGGGACAGGGGTCCGGTCCCTGGCTCCACACTTCAGGTCCCTGGGTGGGCCCCAAGATGCTGGTGATGTGCTTGGTTGTGGGAAGGGGGTCCGGTCCCCCCACCTGGAATCTTAAGGCTTCTCTTGAGGCACCTGGCCTGGATGGCCTTGCTCAGCATCAAAACATACCTCTCCTATGCCCTGTTCCCTCATATGAGTTGTCTAGATTTTTCACATGTGGTGAAAAGCTAATGAGTTACTTTGATAAAAACATTCACAGAAAGTTGTTAACAACAAATGTGGCCTATCCTGTTTCCCTTCCCATATAACATTAGGACCTTTACTTCTTTCACTTAAAGGAGTGGGACCAATGGGACTCTAAGCACAGTGACACAGTCCACAAAGCAGATATATGGGAGGTGGCCTGGGTAGAGGAGCTCTAGTCACTTAGGAGCTTGTGACGCTGCTCCCTGTTTGGGAAACCTAGATACAAGGCAGGTCTTTGTGTGGCCCAGTGCACATGTGGAATCCCTCAAAGAAACACTATCCAATGACAAAAATACCTACAGCAATTCCAGTCTCAATAGCACCTCAGAGAGGGGATCTAACTCTGCCCAGATGAGGTCCCTTTCTTTGCCTACTCAGTTTCATCTCCAGTTGCTCAAAACCTTCTCCTATACAAAATTTCCCCCAATGCCCATCCCTACAATTTTTCTGTACCCCACTGCCAGCCATTTATCTTGTAAACTTAGCTCTTCTGGGACTTTTTTCATTGTCTGTATGTTCTACCATTTTTCAAATTTGGCTTCACAGAACAAAACTGAATTCTCTCTAGAGGGTGCAGCAGGAGAAATATATAAGCCGGCAAAATCGCAGTTTTATTTATTGGATGAAACTGTGCAGAAGGGTTGGCAAAACCAGGTGAAAAGGCTCACCTGGGAAGTAATCATGCCCCACTGCATTTTCAAGATTAACCCTGACAAAGCACAGAGGGCGGGGGCTTGCGTCTCAATACACAAAGCAAGTGTGAAGTCACTTGTCTCTTTAAGGGTAAAAGAGCCAGCAGTGAAGTCTGGAGTAGGATTAAAGCCATTCCTACTACACTCTTTCATAATGAACTATTAATTTAATGGGGGGAAAAACACATCTCTATTACCTTGCTTGGGAAATGTGCCTGACATGTCCCTTGGAGCAATCTTATTTGTTAAGTTTTGTTACAACCCGCTAGGCTCTGTGAGGCAAGGAGAGGGAAAGATCTTAGAGCGCTTTGAAAAATAAAATTAAAACATCAGATTGAGGGCCGGCCCGTGGCTCACTCGGGAGAGTGTGGTGTTGATAACACCAAGGCCCCGGGTTCGGATCCCATATAGGGATGGCCGGTTTGCTCACTGGCTGAGCGTGGTGCTGACAACACCAAGTCAAGGGTTAAGATCCCCTTACCGGTCATCTTTTAAAAAAAAAAAAAACAAAAGAAAACAAAAAAACCCCCCATCAGATTGAGAAGACATCTTAGTCATGGTAATGCTCAATAAGGGAATTGTTGATAAGGCATGTTCTGTGGGAGAAATCCCTTGAAGTTTATTCGTACCCCTTTCCCAGATGGAGGGATGTGAAATTCTCTTCTCTTGAAGGAAAGGAAAGATGCATGTTAAAGAGAGGGGACACTGTTGTTAGAAAAGCAGTGGGCAAACCCACTGCTTGGTCACTTGGGCTTTTACTGGGTAGGTGGACTTGCAGGTTCCTGCTAATCATGGGTTTACTTACTTCCTCTGCTCCTTCTGGTTTTGTTTACACTGACTTGCCTCGTCTGTGAACCACGTTTAGCTCCGTTTCCGAGTTCTCTTATCTCCTCGTTCATACCTGTCACACTCTGTGCACACTGCACTGTCATTTATTGGCTCTCTCCCATCAAACCGGGCTGCTCACAGACAGAGTTCCCATCATCTCTGCATCTCCAAAGCCTCATATAGTGCCTGGCACTTGAATTCATCCATCAAGCATTCATCCAGTGCCTTCTTTGTGACAGGCTCTGTGCCAGACACTGTCTATACCAAGGTAGACAGAGTCGATAGGAGCCCTGCGCCCACAGACATGCGTATCACGTGGGAAAGATGAGACCAGAACCTAATAATTACATACAAACACACACGAACATTATACACTTAATAACCACACACGTGAAGGGTGCTTTGGAAGAAAAAGAATAAGATGCTATCGGAGAAAAGTGGTGGTAGCAGTGGGAACTGATTTAGAGTAGGGTCAGGGAAGTCTTCTCAGGAGAAGTGACAATTAGGCTGGGACCTAAAAAAAGAGGAGGTGGCAGGTGAAGGAGCAGGGCAAAAGTATTCCCGGTCAAGGTAACAGAATGTGCAATGTCTGAGACACGATTCCTTACTGACTGGGAGGAAAGAAGTCAGGTGTGACCAAACTGTGGCACGCAAGGGGTAATTGGGGAGGTGGTCAGGAGCCCGCTCAGGCCAGGCCAGGTAAACCCTGTTTAAGAATTAAGATTTTAAGAACAACAGGAAGCTGTTGCATGATTTTAAAAGCAAGGAAAGGGCACAATAACCTCCCCTCTTAAAAAGAGCACATTCACTGCTTATGAAGGGCAGAGAGGGGCATATACGAGTATAACCCTAAGGAGATGGTTTTGGGGAGAGCTGCCTTGTATTGCACTGTGTCAGTCAGGTGAGAGATGGGGGTGGCTGGGCAGTGGCAGTGGGAATGAAAAGGAGAGATGGGTTTTAAAAATATGAATGATCTCTCAGATTGTTTCTTTGCATCTCTTACCTATAATACTTCTTTCACATATGGATATACAGTCAGCCCTCCATATCCACGGGTTCTGTATCTGCAGATTCAATCAACTGCAGGTCAAAAATACTCACGGAAAAAAACCCCAAACAATAAAAAGTAACACAGCAAAAAATAATACAAATAAAAACCAATATAGTACAACAATTATTTAAGTAGCATTTACATGTATTAGGTATTATAAGTAACCTAGAGATGATTTAAACTATATGGGAGGATGTATGTAGGTTATGTCAAATACTATGCCATTTTATATCAGGGACTTGAGCATCACAAATTTGGGTATCCTTGGGTGGTCCTGGAACCAATCCCCACTCCCCATATTGAGGGATGACTGTACATACTCATCCTTTTAGCATACTTAGGATGATGCACTGCTTAGACATAGGAGGCTGAACAAATTGGAAAGTCTGTCAAGGTCCCTTGCAATCTTTTGTCTCAATGTTACATCTAAAGCCCCACAATTCTCTAAAAACGGGACATAAATGACTCATTGCTTTATTCAACTGAGGTTTGTTGAGCGCTTGTTATGAACAAACGTGGAATTATTCTAGCTTTGCGAGCATATCGATCATTTTAAAAACAAATGTAATACAATATTGCTGATGAAAGTTTGGAACATGAGAAAAGCATAAAGAAGAAAATATATATCTTTAATTATACCATCAATTATTAACATTTTGATTAGTTAGTCCTTTCCCCATTTTTTTTGTGTATATATATATACATTTATTTACATATATGGACATAAATCAATTATTAACATTTTGATTAGTTAGTCCTTTCCCCATTTTTTTTGTGTATATATATATATATATATACATTTATTTACATATATGGACATATAATATGTATATATAGTTTTATGTCCTGCATTAAAATTTTACTGTAAAAACAATCATGCATGCAAAAAATTAATAGAATACACATGATCAATTCAAAGGCTGACAAGATATGTACTCAATCAAACACCAACAAGGTTAAGAAATAACACTCCTTTCTCCTTGCATCCCCCTCCCTCCCTTAAGTTAGTCAGATGCAGAAAGGATCTGTTTTCTTAATCTTGTTCACCTATTTCATTACTTAAATTGCAGCAGAAGGGAAACATGCCTACTTTATCCAATTTGACGCAGACACTGGAAGATGCCTTCAAAAGGATTTTTATTACTTACATGGATAATTGGCGCAGGAACACGACAGCTGAGCAAGAGGCGCTCCAAGCCAAGGTTGATGCAGAGAACTTCTACTATGTCATCCTGTACCTCATGGTGATGATTGGAATGTTCTCTTTCATCATCGTAGCCATCTTGGTGAGCACAGTGAAATCCAAGAGGCAGGAACACTCCAACGACCCCTACCACCAGTACATTGTGGAGGACTGGCAGGAAAAGTACAAAAGTCAAATTTTGAATCTAGAAGAATCCAAGGCTACCATCCATGAGAATGTTGGTGCAACAGTGTTCAAAATGTCTCCTTGATAAAGGAGAAAGGAACAAAGCAAACATCCACATCCAGATATGAAGAGATGCCAGGGATGTGAAGCAAATCTGAACGGTCACTGCTCAGGAAAAAGCAGTTCCTCACTCTGTTGAAAATTTTCTTGGGATTATGTAGTTGGCCAACTAAGACAGATGATATTACAGTATCAGTGATTTATGCTTGCTTGTCGAAGCAATATTTTGTGTTGAAGACCTCTTTTACTCTCTGGGCAATGTAAATGTCCCGTTAATCAATGTCATGAAAATAAAGCCAAATTTGAAGTGCCTGGGCAGTGGCGGGGGGAGCAGAAAGGAGAGAGATTTACCAATCACTGAATCTTCTTTCTAATGAAACATCACTTTGTATGTGACAAATACAAATTATAAATAACCCAGATGTATTATTCAGAAGCGGAGATTCAAAATCTATCACTTGCTCACTGGATTGACACAGGAGCATTTACTTATTAATTCATGAGTGCAGAGTCTGAAGCGATGAATGAATAGAACCATGAGGGTACTTTACATTTATTGTTTTCCTGGCATTTAACTTATTTGAAAGTCTGAAGGTAGAAAAAACATTTCAAAGGGCAAAAAATCCATATCACAGAAGCTGAATATTTGAGAACTACCAGGTGCAACTGAAACATATTTTTAAACTAACATTTAAAGTTTTGCAAAATACTAACCTTTAAAAGTTCTTGTTCATAAAGAAAAAAATAATAAAATGTTATAACATAGCTTTATAAACAACTCATTCTTTTTACTCCATTTTATTTTCTTCTATTTATAATTACTTATTTTCATTTATGTTTGAAGAGACTAAAAGTACATAAAGTATCTAAATTGCTGATGTCTGTTGACAAGCTAGACAGTGGCTGCTTAATATTTTACACGATTGGGGCGATGTTGGTCAAACAATACAAGCTTTCAGTTATTTAGGAGAAATGAGTTCAAGAGATCTAGTGTACAACACTGTGACTACGGTTAATAACAACATACTGTACTCTTGAAAAATGCTGAGTGGATGTTAAGTGTTCTCACTACAAAAACGGTAACTACGTGAGTAATGTGTATGTTAATTAGTTAGATTTAATTATTCCACAATGTATATATACTTCAAAACACCCTGTTGTACATGATAGATCCATAAAATTTTAGTCTGTCAATTTAAAAAAATAAAGTAAATTTGCACTGTGGGGTGTGCTATATCATAGACTGTCAGGGCTGGAAGGCACCTTGGAGATCATCCTGTTCCTGTCGGAGCACTTCATTTAGAGATTAGGAAACTGTAGACCCTTGCGATGAGATGATTTCATTCACTAATTCAATTGGGCAATGTTTATCTACTTGGGTCACTGGACTAGACCCCAGGAGTATGGAGAAAAATGAGATCCCTGAGCTGGAAGAACCCACACAGCAGAGAGGGAGTCAGCTATGTAAATTTACATCATGATGACAGAATGTGACAAGTCCTAACAGATCAACACAAAGTGGACAGAGGCAGAGCATGGACAGGAGGGCAGGCCTAACTTGGTCAAGGTCTCCCCTTTCAGAGCGCTGAGAATGGGAAGTCAGTGGCAATAGAGAGCTGTGTGGGGCCTCCTAGTTTACCCTTTTCTCCTTCCCCTCCTCAGCCAGGGCACAGCAATTGTGTGCAGGGCCTCGAGCCTCAGGGTACTAAGACAAAATTCAAAACAGGAGCTCTTCTTAAAGCACACTTGTAGGACTCCTTATACAAACTAAAAGGTTTTTATCTTTAAGCTTATAGAGTGGGGTATATACAGACAGTCCTGACTTATGATGGTTCAATTTAGGATTTTTCAACTTTCTGATGGTGCAAAAGTGATACACATTCAGTAGAAACTGTACTTCACATACCCACACAACCATTCTGTTTTTCACTTTCAGTACAGTATCCAATAAGTTACACAATATATTCAACACGTTATTATAAGATAGGCTTTGTGTTAGATGGTTTTGCCTAACTGCAGGCTAATGTAGTTCTGAGCATGTTTAACCAAGCCAAGGGTTACGATCCCCTTACTGGTCACCAGAACCCCCCCCCCCCAAAAAAAAAGAAAGAAAGAAAGGTGTGGCTGGATGTGAGGGTGATCTGGCTGCGACATCTGTCACCCCATTGATTGCCAGCATTGGTTCAGCTGATCTGGCTGGCTAGGCAGGCGTCCCCTTCCTCCCTCACTGTTCCATGCGCGTCCCTCCTGAAGCTGTGCACTTGTTCGAAGAGGACGACCTTCCCCGATAGAGGAGAGGACTGTTCTTTGGTCAAGGGTATAGGAGTAGTTGCATTCCCCTGCTGGAACCTCCAAACAAGCTCTCAAGAAAGGCGTGGCTAAGCTATGATGTCCAGTAGGTTAGGTGTTTAAATACATTTTTAACTTACGACATTGTGTAAGGCCCCATAGAAGACCCCAAAGGAGGCACTCCCTAAAACATGACGCTTTTCCTCTTCTGGGTCCTAACAATCTCGCCGGCGCCAAGGTGCAGCCTATCAGAAATCATTACCCGCCCCCGGCCAATCAACTACCGCCCCGTGTACTAACCACCCTCTCCCAGAACTGGCTCTATATAAATGTATGCTTCTCCCCCGAATAAAGCGGAACTTCTCCGGTGAACTGTCAGCTCGGGTCCTGTCGTCCTTTCACATTGGCTTTATCAGGACATAACTCCATTGTATGTCAAGGAACATCTGTACAAGTTATCTGTTTCCTAATAACAAACTTGCAATTATGCTAACAGAAACATTAAATATAGTATTAAGGAAAGCCATTCATATTCCAAGTGAAGATGTGGCAAGAGTGGCCTCCTTCCTCAGATCAGAAACCCAGAAATGCTGTTGCACACAGAAACATCCACCCAGAGAGCCCAGAGCAGCAATCAGGCTATAAATCCCAGGCCTCAGCTCTGTATCCAGACAAGGATCCAAGGAGGTTTCTACTAGGTGACAAAAGACTTTCTCCTTGACCAAACTAGTCAGGTTCCTCTGAGCCCTCTTCCTGACTAGACCCCAACTTTGGCCTATAAAAACTGTAGACTCTTGGCACAAATGATGTCATCCACCTCTGCACACTAAGAGACTTGAACAAATACCAGCACAGTTTCTAACACCTCAAGACTATATTCCTAGGATGACCCCAGACCCCCTTAAAGTGCCTGTCTGAGAAAAATGAATGCTACCAGGAGAACTTACTGTTTTGGTCCAACTAAAACCTGGTGATAGGCAGATAGGCCCCTGAGTTCCCTCTTAGAGCAGTTACTTTAGAAATCTTGCAATTATAAATCCTTTCTCTCCTTCTTTGAGTAAATCTTCTACCACCCAGAACTGTCTTGTTTCTTTGAAATGCAAACATTCCAACTGTCTCGGCTGGATGGGCTCCCTGTTCTAACTCACATCACTGTCCCCTATCATAGACGGAGGAGTTTGTTTCTCTTCCAGATAAGCACCAATTAACTGGCACAGATAACAATGACCAATCCCCTTTCACTTTTTATACATTTGCACTACCTGACTGCTTAAGCCTGACACCCACGCCCAATCACCTCCACGCAAATGGAAGTTGAGCTCAGTTCATGCTGGACCCTCTTTCCCATTGCAATAGTTACTGAAATTAGTAAATCCTACTGCTTTAACTAGTGTCAGCTTTGTTTACTTTTGACACAGGAAAATAAATCGAGGGAAAAAAACTAGGTTTTCCTAATTAAGCACATTGTATTAGTCTGTTTCTGTTGCTTACAACAAAAAACATGGAACTGGGTAATTTGTAAAAAAACAAAATTTATTGCTTAGTTTCAGAGGCTGGGATGTCCAAAGTCCAGGGAACACATCTGTTGAGGGTCCTGGTGGTGACTTCAGTGATGCAGGCTATCACATTGTGAAATGGAGGAGCAGAGAGGGCAAAGACTAACCTCCTCATTCACTCACCTTTCAAAACCCTCAGAACCACACCCCTGACCACCATTACTAATCCATTCACTGCAGCATGGGCCTAGAATCTAATCACCTCTTCAAGGCCCCACCTTTCAATTACCAAAATAGGATTTCCCACCCTCTTAACACTGTCACAGTGGGGGTCAAGTTTTGCGGGTCACTCAGTCCAAGGCACACATTTATTACCATCACTGATAGTACAGGTGATCACACAGATGGTTATCAGTCAACTTCACTTTTGGGGAATGGGAGGACTGCCAAGTCTTTACAAGCATGTTGGGTGTGTAGTTGCTGAAACCATTTGCCTCAATTTGCCACTCCAGGATCAACTCCCAGCAAACTTGGGCTTTCCGCTTTCAACACAGCAACTGAAAATGCCATTTCAAACAACCTGCTGTTTTCCTTTCTACCTGTTTGCTTTTAGAGTTCTTTCTGGTTGGTCTACGGGCTCCACATGACCAGAGTACCACTTACTTTTTAATGCACAGCTCAAAGGCTATTTAAAAAGGAACCCATGGTAGTGGCCAATCTGATAGCCTCTAGATCCAGATAACCTCAGGTTAAGTCACAGCTCTGGCCCTTGCTGGCTTCAAAACCCTGAAAACATTAGTTTAATCTCTTTGTATCTCCATTTCCTCATTTGTGCAATGTCCTTTATAGGCTTGTTATGAGGCTTAAATTAGATAATGGCCTCAAAGTGCTCAGAACAAAGGTATCTGTGTTACTTTCTCCGGGGGGAAAACTTTCCTTGTTAACAGACCGAAGTCCCCCACCCCTCAGCTTGTTCTTCCCTCTGCAGTCCTAACATTTCGTACTTCATCACCACAGAGTCAAAATGGTATTTGGAGTTGGACCGCCTGGGTTCAAATCTCGATTCTGCCACTGCAAATCGCGCGTTTTCCAGTGCCAGCCGCTTAGTCTCCCCTGGCCTCAGTTTCCTCTTCCACAGAGGAGTGAGCAGAGCACGTAGGAGAACTCCACTAACACTGCCTCTCGCTGTCCTTTTATTCGAGCGCGCAGCGTGTGCACTCCCCGGGGCAGGGACCGAGTGTGCTCAAACTCTGCACGCGCTTGCGTTTACGAAGCGTTAGCTGAATGAAGGCATCCGAGAACCTAGTACTGGGGCACCCTACTATGAACTCAAAGGAAAATGCACGGACGCTGTCAGAAATGATTTGGACACTTCTTATGGGGACCCACGTGTCCTCAGCTGCAGACAGCTTCGAGGAGGAATCCAGGGAATGCGGGACAGCTGAGAGCGGGGGAGCCTCGCCACGTCCGCCCTCCCGCCGCCATCCTCCTCCAGCGAGAACTTCCCTCTGGGCCCGGAAGAAAGTGTCCGGTCCACACCCTGCGGGTCCCCTCCGGCGGGGTCTATCACCACACCTGTCCCCAACCACAGCCCCACGACCGCTGCCCGGGCCCACTGCGCCGGCGCGCAGAGCGGTGCATTTCGGGAAGTGTAGTTTTCCTGGCAGGACTGTGGGAGCCGTGGTTTGTGGGCCGGGTGGGCGCCGGAGGCTCTGCCGCCGGACCTGTAAGTGTGTGACGTCCGGGTCGGCGGAAGCCTGACCCGAACACCGAGAGCTATCTGTGGTGTCGGGTCCGGCGGCCGACCCTGCGTTCGCTCGCGTTTTCTCTACGGGACAAACGCCTGCCGGCCCCGGCCGCGAGGCGCCGGCTCCCCGGGTGGGACCGGGAGGGTGAAGGCCGCCATGGCCGCAGCCGCGGAGCGCTTGGGACCGGGGGCTCCCACGATTGGTTCCGGCCAGACGGTGTTGGTTTCCGAAAGGTCTTGGGGGACCAAAGGTCTGGACACCCTGTTTTGTGGAAGGGTGGAGGAAGCGATGGCAGGCCCCGGCCCTTATCTTCGGGTCTGAGGGGGCAGGAGTGTTCCTGAGTGTTGAGGAGAGGACGTCAGTCCGGCCCCCGGTTTACCGAGGGGAAGCTGAGGTCCAGAGAGGTTCAGCGACTCGCCCAGGGTTGCACAGGAGGGCACAGGCACCAACGTTGCCCTGCTAGGCTCAGGGCATGGCCTGATTAGTGGCTGGAACGAGTTAGACACCAAGAGACAGATTGAACCGCGAGTTTGTTAGGTGTGCCAAGAAGACGTAGTTGTGGACAGCACATTGTCCATGTTGCTTTAATTGGCTTTACCAAAATAAGCCAATAGCATTTTTTTGTTTCTAAGAGAAACTTGGCAACGGTAAAATTAGGATATTGTTGCAGTAAAGGAAATAGAAATATTAGAGTTGTATGTAAACCATTTATTATTTTTGAGTTTTAAGCTAAGATTGTGGATAGTTCCGGGGGAAGTTTAAAATTCCCTGCACTTCGTAGATTTTATGTTCCTCAAGACTGTGCCCATCTTGTTGGTTTTTGCAGTTCAGATCTCAAATACCAGTTGCCTCGTGTTTCTAGTATTGCATCAGGAGTACATGGAGCAGCGTAGCCAATAGTTTACTGATATTTTTTAGCTTTCTTAGTTCTCATTTGCAGAAGGCCTGCAGGGTGCTATGAAAATGGCTGATTCAGGACATGTAATTTAAGGGAGGTGGGGAAAAGTTGTATTTCAGAGACCGTGGGTGGGAATGAGCTGAGCTGAGCAGGGTGGTTTGCCCTAGTCTCCCACCCTCACCCCACCTCTTCCACTACCATTGCAGATTGACTTTAAATATGTTTCTTTCCTGAAGAGCTTGAATTTTATCACTCTAGGTATGAAATTGAGGCACCTGCCAGTATATTTTTGTAGTCAGGTTTTGTGATATCAGAGAGGATGGTGAGTTGTGAGTTCCAGAGTTGCAGAATCATCCTTTGGATTCTAATTTTAAAAATGAGAACACTTTGATTCAGAGGGTTAATCACTTGCCTCAGGTCATATTTCCCACCGTTGGTGCTACCAAAAAATAGAATCCAGATCTCCAGTTCTTCTGGTCTTTGGATTACTGTTCTTTGTTCCATCCCTTGCTGTCTTGCAATGACTGCATTTTGCCCTTCAGCATGGCATGTCCGTTAGTGGAAGGAGAGATATTTATCATAATAACAGTGGTTGACATTTATTTAGTGCTTTCTATGTGCTGAGCGTGATGTTTAGTGTTTACAGTCCAATCTCTGAAGGAGAATTTACAGATTAGGGAATTGAAGTTTAGAGAAGCTAAGAGACTTGTCCAAGGTCATACTGCTAGAAAATGTAGCATGTGTTTGCCAAAGGCCAGATCACTGGATGTTCTTTTTAATTTTTCTTCCTGTAAGCTTTTTTTGACCTATTTGTTGTCCTTGACCTTGGGAATCAATATCCTATATACATCAATTCACTGAGTATGTGATTTGGCCTCATGCGGGAACAGCCAAACTCACCTACTATATTTGTTCACAACTCAGTTAAAACAGGAATTGTAAAAATAAAATTTACAAGAAAAACATTTTGTTTTAATATACAACATGGCTGATCCCTAAGATTACTAGAGATTACTCTAAGTGAAAATTCTAGCAACAGGTTAGGAGCATGTTTCTCTAGTGCAGGTCAGAATCTGCTACTACATAAAGACAAGTGGGCCATTTATACATGAAAGAAATGAGCACCTTCGGTCACCATCATCACATTTAAACAGATCTGTGGTTTAAATTCTTGTGGTTAGCTTATCTGACTTTGAAAAAGTCATGGGGAAAACTTGGTTATCTTTTGCCACCTGCTAGATTGTTTTCAAGATGCTATAACATTGAGTAGATGAGGTATGAACTTTTTATATTTCGATGCTTTCATAATTGAAAGTTTTTATAAAACGTCTTTCTTGAGGTTCATCTTATCCCCATAGTAAAGGCCTGGGAAATTTCCTGCTGCTTTTCTTAATTCTAATTGTAAGTGCATTTAAAGAAAAGTGATCCCATGATTTTATGAATGCAGAGCTCTTTGACTGGTCAGACTAGATGGGTTTGAATCTCAGTCCCACCTGTGAGACCCTGCATGTGTTACTTAAACTTTGTTTCCTTGTCTATAAAGTGGAGGCAATAAACTACCTCATAGGGCAGTCGTGAAGACTAAATGAATTAACTCATCTCAGCACTTTAGCGTGGCCTGGCACAATAAAGTTAAGCTATGATTATTATGCCCTAAGTCATCGAATTTTAGAAAAAGTAGGGGCCCTAGAGACCCATCTGTTTGATACCTCTGTTCTTTACTTACAGATGGGACCGAGGCCCTGAGAGAGAAGTCACTTACCAGAGTGTGTAAGGTCTTCATCCAGAGCTCAAGTGTTCTGGCTCTTGGGGTATGTGTCATATTCTAAAAATAGTGACATGAGCAAATCCTGTCCTGCCTTGTCATTTCCTGCCTCACCCTTTAGAAGGTCTCCCCCATGTTTTAGAGGGAATTCTACATATGAATTGCTTTCTTAGCAATTTCCTCCTGTCATTTACTCCCTTCCCTACAGAAAATTTTTTAAAAACCAAGATTAGCTTAATTAACACTCAGAGGACCTGAGAAACAGAAAGACACTCATCACAAACCAGCTCATGTTCAGGGCAGGAGGTGGGTGGAGGGACAGCTTTTGGACTTGGACTGTTAGGTCCACAGATGAATGGAATGGGAGCACATGTCCCCGCAGGAGCAGCACAGCCGCATCTGCTGGGGGCTACAGGGAGCTGCGAGGAGAGCTTTCCACTCAGCAAGGGCCAGACCTGTCACAGTCCTTGCCCAGCCCATCTGCTTCCCACCAGGCCATAGGTCACTGTGTTCAGGTGCAGAGCTTGCTCTCTCTGCTCACTGGCCAGTCTCCATCAAAGAGATGGCTTCCTAAGGTGGTCTGCCCTAGAAACCCCAAATTGATTTGTTTCTTTTCTTCCAGCCCAGGTCCGACCTTCTGGTTCCCTTTCCTCATGTACTTGTCTGGGGGAACTATATTGGTCAAGAGTGAATTCACAGTTGGTCCACCATGAACTGGAAGGTGAGAATAGTTTTAAACATCTGTGGCTTGGATTTTTTCTTTTTTCCTGGTTGTGAAAGTTCAGAATAACAGTTCTACAGCAGTACAGTTGGCCCCTCTGTATCCACAGGATCTGCATCCGTGGGTTCTGCATCCGTGGATTCAACCAACTGTGGATTAAAAATATTTGGGGGGAAAAAAAAGATAAGAAATAACAATACAACGTTAAAAAATAGCACAGATGGAAAATACAGTATAACAATTATTTATGTACTATTTACTTTGTATTAGGTATTATAAGTAATTTAGAGATGATTTAAAGTATCTAGGAGAGTGTCTGTAGGTTATATGCAAATACTATGCCATTTTTTATCAGGGTCTTGAGTACCCGCAGATTTAGTTAGGAGAGGGGGGTCCTGGAACCAATCCCTTGTGGATACTGGGGGATAGATTAAAAAGAAAAAGTAGATGAAAGCATAATAATTTTAATGTTTTAAGTTAAAACATGTAAATGTACATTTGCTGACCAGGCTTCTGGAGGAAGGCCAGGTCTTTTCTTTGAGTATGTGTTCACTAACTTCCGATCTGCCTCACTTTTTTTTTTTTTTACAAAAACCATACCTTTAAAGCTTCACCTGCAATTTCACATTTTGGTTTCCTTAAAGTAGATGCAATGAATTCTTGTGTTCTCCCCCAAATTCATATGTTACAACCCTAATCCCAATGTGATGGTATTTGGAGGTGGATCCCTCAAGAATGGGATTAGTGCCCTTATGAAAGGGACCCCAGAAAGCTCTCTCATGCTCCTTCTGCCATGTGAAGACTCAAGAAGTCGGCAGTCTGCAACCTGGAAGAACACCCTCACTAGAACCCAACCATGCTGCACCCTGATCTTGGACTTCCAGTCTCCAGAACTGTGAGGAATACATGTCTGCTGCTTATAAGTCTCCAGGCTATGGTACTTGTTGTAGCAGCTCAAATTGACTAAGACAGCAGATTAAGATCTTATGAAGCAATCTACATATAAAATCTTTCCAATATTTTTATGCTCTTCTTTCCTAATCTTTTGTCTTGCCAACAGCATTTTTTTTTCAACTCAAACTTGAGTCTTTCAAAGCATTCAACATAGTTTTTGTGGAAACAACCTTTTCTTTACACATCTTTCCAATATTTTTATGCTCTTCTTTCCTAATCTTTTGTCTTGCCAACAGCATTTTTTTTCAACTCAAACTTGAGTCTTTCAAAGCATTCAACATAGTTTTTGTGGAAACAACCTTTTCTTTACACATCATGTTTCATAAGTGTTGTGTTTAAATAAATGGTCTATTGTAGCATCAAGTACAATTTAAACTGGTCAGAGAATAAACACAACTGGTCCCTGTAAAACATTAGATTTAGCTAGGGTAAGCAGAAGTTCAGGGGCAGCCAGAGGGTAACCTGCTAGCTGCAAGTATTCAGTGGGCTGTGGACAGCAGTCAGCAGGTTTTAGAGGGAAAGGAGAGTGTCACTTTATATCCCTGAGGTCAGTAAGGTGAGGTGGAGGTTGGTTAAGAGAGAAGCCACTTAAATTTATTTAAAAAATAAACCATTCCCATTTCACAGGTACTGGGGTTTTGTTTTTAAAAATTAGTGTAGATCTAGTCCATCCAAACAATATTCATTTTCTTCCTTGAAGATCTGTATGTTTTGAGAGATATAAGGGGTTTGTTAGAAGGAACCGAGGTAGATATTTAACAATGGAAGCTTAGTACCCTAGAGACGGGCAGGAAAGAACCATTCCCATTTCACAGGTACTGGGGTTTTGTTTTTAAAAATTAGTGTAGATCTAGTCCACCCAAACAATATTCATTTTCTTCCTTGAAGATCTGTATGTTTTGAGAGATGTAAGGGGTTTGTTAGAAGGAACCGAGGTAGATATTTAACAATGGAAGCTTAGTACCCTAGAGACGGGCAGGAAATGGGGCCCTGAAGCTCTTCAATGTAGCCCTTTTAGTGTCCTTGACCTCTGCTGTCCTTACTCTGCTTCCTTCTCAGTCCTGAAACTTCTGCCTCTTGCCATCTCCTCTTCACTACCTTTTAAAAGAAAGTAAATGCTGAAACCACATGCCTGTGTCCATTTGGTGTGTTTCCATTTCAATGGGTTTTTCTAGCTTTTGGTTGGGGTAGTACATTTTTGCAACTACTAAAGCTAAGTTTCACGTGTAGATCACGGAGAACCATGGGCTATAATGTGGGCTTGCTCGTAATAGGCTCCGGTGGCTCATCCATAGAGATTTAGAAAACGGGAAGAGAGTAGCTTTTCCCAAAATGAGTCAGTGCTTCAGTTAGCCTAGAAAATCCTAATAACCATAAAAAGAAGTTTATATAACACATTAAACATTCTTTTCTTAGCTGGTTTGTATACATGGAGTCAAACCTTTACATCTCTAAAATGTGAACCTTCAAGAAAGTAGATGAATTAGAGGGTAATTGGGGGGAGGGAGGTAGCCATAGGTCTGAGGGAGGAAGAACCTGGAAAGAAAATCAATATTCTAAGCTTCTTGCATTTACCAGGATAAAAAATTTAAAAATTTTATTTTTGTAACTTTTTTAGTCTTCTATACTGTTGCCAAAGCGATCTTTCTGAAACATATATTGTGTCAATTCTGGACTGTTAAATGACTTCCTGGTTGAAAACTATTATCTAGTTACTGAGTATTCTTCTGTTCTTATTGTCTTAGTTAAAACAATTTAAATATTTGAATTCCCCCATTCATTATATTTCCATAGTATCACATTACAACCTTCCTCAAATATCAGCTCCTAACCAGTTAAGTAATTCCAGAGGTAGGGAGTCCAGTTGCCTTTGTTAAATTCAATAGCCAAGCCATTGTTTGTTTGTGTAACTTAATTGTAAAATTGATAGGGTTGGTGAGAGCATCATATATGAGGGTACTTCAGAGAGTTTATGGAAAATTTGTATTATATTTCAATTCTATTTTTCCATGAACTTTTTGGAGCACGCTTATATGTTATAGGATAATGTAATGATGAAGAGTCAGGCTTCAGAGCAGTCACAGGTGGGTCAGACTCTACCTCGCTGATGACTAACCTTTCCACATTGCTGTACAGTCAGGGAATTCTGTCCACCTCATGGGGAAGTGTAAGGAAGAAAGGGAAAAATCCATGTAAGGCACTTAGCACACAGTTAAGTTCCCAGTATATGACAACTGATGCTACAACTTCTAGATGTGGATTTCAATGAAATTTTTGAATAAAATTATAGGAACATATATGTACATAAATTGTGATTTTATTCCATTTCATTGAAAACCAGTAATCAGTAGAAAGGAGTCTGGCCTAGGGGTTAGAATGTTCATTCCAACTCTAGCCTCGTCCTGAATGAACTGTGTGACATGGGTAGGCCTCTCAGCCTCTGTGAGCAGAACACAAGGGTAGACGAGGTCATCATTAAAATTCTTTATAGTCCTCCAGTTCTATGAGCGTGTTGTTCTCAGCTAAAGTTTTCACTAACTCGTTTCAGATCAGCATTAATTAAATTATTACAAGGAGGTTCAAATGTACTTCCTGTAGTAGAATCTCATTTTATTGGTATTACATATAATAAGTGATGTTCAGTAGTTTAACCTAATGATTTCATTGTGATAAATCCTACCTAGTCATCTAAAATAATCATTACTTAGAAAAACATACCTTTCCACTTTATTTGGGAAGGAATTTTTAACCACTCATAATTATCATTCAGGTCGTACTAAGCATGTTTAAGAAAGTAGTGTGGTATTTACTTTGTGATACCATGGGGATATACAGAATTTTATAATAAAATCTACTAGTGCAGAGTGAGTAGTTCAAATCCATAGTTATTCCCTAGACTTCATTTTAGCCAATGGGTTAAAACTTCCCTTTAATAAGAAATTACAAGAGCAGTTAATAAGTAGCTAAGTTTTAATGTTTGAGTTTTATTGTATTTTATCTGACTTCAAGTGCCAGTGCTAATGAGTCACTGGAACCAAGAGGAATCATAGTGTACTAAAGCTGGAGAATCCAGAAGGAAGGTCTGGTCCTGCCTTACTCTGCACGTGAACAGAAGCTCAAAAATGTCCAGTGACTGACCTGGGTTGCACAGTCAGTGGCAGAGCAGAGCTATCACCCAGCCCTCCTGGGTCCAGCTCCTTTACTGGACCATGCTGCTGCCTTAGAAGCAGAAGGCTTAGGTGAGTGGCAAATCACATGGTTAAGTTGTGAGAGACCAGAGTTGTTATGTCTGTTTTTGACTGGAAAAAACTCTGTGAAGCTAATAGCAAGGGCAGACCTGTAACTAGACTCAGGTGACATGGGGACAGGACCTTGTCTGTCTTGGTCTCCAGTGTAGTCCCAGCACCTAGCTTCATGCCTGTTACCTAATAGGTACCGAGTAAATATTTGTTGAATGAAGGAACATAAAAAGAAACACTTCATATCAATGATGGAACATTTAAAATGGTTTCTTTCTTCTTCAAGGTTCTTGAACACGTGACAATAAAAGGAAACATTTCATATCAATGATGGAACATTTAGAATGGTTTCTTTCTTCTTCAAGGTTCTTGAACACGTGCCCCTGCTGCTCTATGTCTTGGCAGCGAAAACATTAATTCTCTGCCTAGCATTTGCTGGAGTGAAAATATACCAACGGAAAAGATTGGAAGCAATACAGCAAAAACTGGAGGCTGAAAAGAAAAAGCAATCAGAGAAGAAGGATAACTAAACTGAAATCAAAGGTACTGGGGCTTTGCAAATGCAAACTATCGAATGGGTTGGCGCAGGCCAATCAGTGACAGTGACAGATCCCAGAGTTATGTGTCCGTTGGGTCTGAAGGGCTGCAGAGGGCATGTGACCCTACCTGTCCTCTAAGGTAGAACAGCTCCATAGAAGGGCCAGGTGTGCACATCCTGATCCTTGGCTTTGTCTGCCACCAAGCCACAGTGTGTCGAGGATTAGTCCACTGTGCTCTAAACTCTGTTCTTAATGAGTCTTGGGTCACAGGACTCTTGAGAGTGGATCTTCTCTCTAGAGAAGGACACATGGTAAAAACACCTGCAGTTGTGCATAAACTTGAAGATGTGGGTGGGGAAGGGGGAGGTGGGAGTCACAGGTCATTTGAAACCCCAAGATTAGGGAACCCTGTTATCTTCGAGATAAAGTCTGACTCCTTGGTATGGCAAGTAAATCCCTTCCCAGTCTGCCCTTAACTCAGATTTCATTTGCCACCTCCCCTGCCAACTGTCCAGGATCCTGCAGGCCATTCCTGGATCATGACTGATGTTCACTTCATGCCCCTAGGCCTTGCCTTTTAGTCCCCTGGCCTAGAGGACCCTTCCCGAGGACCTCCACACTCCCCTGCCAACTGTCCAGGATCCTGCAGGCCATTCCTGGATCATGACTGATGTTCACTTCATTCCCCTAGGCCTTGCCTTTTAGTCCCCTGGCCTAGAGGACCCTTCCCGAGGACCTCCACACCAGGCATGAGGGCTGACTCATTGCTGTAGGCCAGTGCCTATCACAGTGCACACAGGAGGGCCCAGATTAGTTTGTGGAGTTAAATAGGAGGGTACTTCAAAAAGTTCATGGAAAAAGAATGAAAAGATAATACGAATCTTTCCATGAGCTTTTTGAAGTACTCTCATACATCAAGGCACCAGGAAGTTATTATGAAGCCACTGTTACAGATTTAACATATGACAGTTAGCAATTTCCTTGATTTTGGTGTGTTGATCTGATTTCATTTATCAGTTTGAATTCTTTGCTTCTCAAAAAATTAGATTCAACTATGGTAGCTGGGAATTCTAGATCAGTGGTTCCCAAACCTGGCTAACAATCAGAATTGCCTGGGGTGCTTATTAAAAGTTCAGGCTCCTGGGCTCCAGCCTCAGGGTGAGTGTGTTATGTCGATGGTTGGGTATGGGCATCTGTTCTTGCAAAAACCCATTAGGTGATTCTTGCATAGTCCCCTCAACAACAGGTCGTTGTGTAAACCACTGGATTAGGTGACCTCCAAAACCCCTGCCCACTCTGAGACTTCATGCTTCAGCTAATAGGGATTTCCTTACACTACTTTTTTAGTTGTTGAGGTTAAAGGTGTGCTTACTGGTGATAGTAACAACACTTACTAAATGCTTATTCTGTGCTAGGCATTTGCTAAGCATTTCACACATAGCTGTGTTATTCAGTCCTCTGACAACTCTCTGAGGTACATGCAGATGGAAAGAAGGGCTCACACCCACATGTTGAAGCACAGAACCAGAAATTGGACCAGGTCAAACACATCCAACCACTGTGCCCACCCTGATCTGCCTCACTGTCCTGATTGCATGACAGTGAGCTTGGAGAAGACGTCACTCTGTCACTTGCCCCCTCTGCCATCCACCCATCCCTCTCTGGCTGTAGGCTTTTACCGGGTGGAAGAAGTTACTGTTATGGGGCCTTGCCTCTTTATTTATTTATTTATTTTAAGATTGTTTATTGACTGAAACTCAGGAGTGGGCACTAGGGTGGGGAAAGAGGGAGCACTTAGAAATTAAAAAGGGTGGGGAGAGGCAGTTTTAATTGAACATTGCTGATTGAACTTATAGTTCCAACAGTCATCATTTTTTGTGTTAAGCTGAGAAAAGGAAGATTAGGTGTGAGATCCTAATCCCGTTTTCCTCCCACAGACCTCACCAGAGAAATGCAGTGAAGTCAGTGCTGGACAGCTCACATAGCTGAGCTGGGAAGTGACTAAGGGAATCCGTCTTCCTCCTAGGCTGGCAGTTTAGCAAAGACGGGAGCATTGCTTTAAACAAAAGCATTTCCGGATGGAAGGAAATTGTGATGCTAAAAATACATTCATTAATAGATAAACTTCAGTGGTTTCTGTTCAAGTCTAAATGGTTGAACATAAGGGTTAATGCTGACATTTCCTACTTATCCCTTTGGCTTCCTTTCTAGATTTGGCAACATAAATGTCAGCTTGAATGGACTCCAGCTGAGAAGAAAGAGAAGAAAGGCTTAATGATTAATTGTCAGAGGATAAACTCTCAACCTATACTTTTAAGTTAAAATAATGAACTTTTTATGCTTTTAAAAGAACCAATATTTTGTTTACTAAAATTAAATACCTTTGTAAAAATGGTGTCTCTAGTATTTGGAATAAGTCAAAGTGTGTGGGACTCTCTCATACACACACACACACACACACACACACACACACACACACACACGTTGTGAAAGAAGGAAGTTTTGCCCACCTGCACTTCCCCCAGCACTTCCTGGATCACAGGTGCACGTCACAGAGGGCTGGGCCACAGAAGTACCATCTGCTGTAGGGATAAGAGTCCCAGGCAGTGGAGGCCTCTGCCAGCTCTCCTTCATCAGCCCGCTGGGCCCTCTCGTGGGCTGCCACCATGCACCTGTTTTCTCCACTTTCCCTCCTATGAGTGCCATCACCCTGTTTCGTCGTTACTATGGAGGAGGCTGTGTGCTGGTCCAGGAGAGTTGGCTCCTGGGCCGACCTGTGAGGGAGGAAGTGCAGGGTGAGAGCCATCTGTCGTGAGGAACACTGGGTCTAGGAAGAAGTCACTTTGTCCAGTCCTGTTGTGAGAGCACAGAGGAGCCCCAGGATGGGTTTTGTCCTTTCCTTACCAGCGCTTGCTTGTTGGGCTTTGCTGATAAGAGATGAAGGACAGGGCACTCATTGGAGACTTTAAAATTGAGAGAAGTGCAGTAAGATTTTCCTCAGAACCTAACCCACTGAGATCCATGTTAAAAAGATTTATGTCTCTTCTCTCAAGATATCAGAGTGGGTGGGGAATGAGGAAGTAGTAACCTGAGCCCTAAGTCTGGTGGAGCCCTAAGTTTGGTCTCATTTGCATGAGTGTTTTAATAGATGTCTATCCTAGCCTGGCCTGGTTTTGTACAACTTTGCATTTTAAACGTGAGGAGTAAAGGGAGTTATAAATCGTAAATTTTACTGTGGTTGCTGGATGTTCTTAATAATAATTTAGAAAGCAGGAAAGAATTTACATAGGATCGAAGTTCTAAGTACAGAATAGTCCCTGACCATATAGGCTGCAAATCTCAAAGTAGTCAAAAGGAGACGTTAAGTTAGCTCATCCCTCAGCCCCCTGTAGGATGCTGCTCCAGCCTTTGCTTGGGAGCTCTGGAGACCCCATTCTGACTGGCCTCACTGTGGCCTGGGGTCCTGTTTGGGCATGAACACATGACCGGAGCAGAGGTTTAATGCCCTTGATTTCTGAGGCCTGGCCCCCATGCTTCCAAGACCTGCTCAGGTGGAATCCAGAATCCTATCCTCCCACCTTTGTCAGGGAGCCCTCTACAGCCTGGTCAGTGCCCATGCTCTAGGGGCTTGGCTTCTGCTTACTTCTCAGCCTGCAAGACTGGTACACCTGCTCGCTTCATGGCTGGCACGAGACCCCCAACCTCTGGCCACTGTTTCCTCCCACGTGCACACACACTATGTGCGTCATAATCCAAGGTGGAAAGTCTGTAGGCTTTTCATCTAAGTATGCCTGACCAGTGGATATTCATGCTTATTTTAAACACGGGTGCTTTTCTGGGCTTTGGGGTTTAAAGCTAATCTTTGGAATTTGTGGAACATCTGGCCATCTTCTTGGAAAATCTGGTAGAAGAAGACCTAAGGATTGGACTAAACCACAGATCACGCCCATGGGTTTTCTATAAATAGCATCTTGTTTTTGTTTTGTTTTCAGTTAACTTTCCTAGACACTCTTCTAGCACTAGAGGGAGATGATTAATCAGTAATCGGAGTTATTGATATCGTTCACTCCACATGTACATGAAATCGGTAGATTTGTAGTTTGATTTTTTTCTCCTCTGTTCCCAAATTGTATTTTAAATTGTGGTACAATATATATAACATAAATCTTGCCATTTAAGCCACTTTTCAGTGTACAATTTAGTGGTATTAACTACATTCACAATGTTGTACAGCCATCATCACTATCTATTTCCAAAATGTTTTTGTTAACGCCAAACAGAAACTCTGTTGTAGTTCGATTTTAAATAATTGGTTGGGGGGCTGGCCCGGTGGCGCACTGCTACAGTGCGCCACTTGGGAGCGCGGCGGCGCTCCCACAGAGGGGTCGGATCCCACATACAGACCGGCCGCTCACTGGCTGAGCGAGGTGCGGGCTCAACACCGAGGGTTGCGATCCCGTTGCCGGTCCCGGTCCGGTACGGGCGCGACACTGAGGGTTGTGATCCGTTGCCGGTCACGAAAAAAGACAAAAAGGAAAAAAAAAAAAATTGGTTGGATGCGTGCATGCATGGCTGGGTGTAGATAGGGAGATTGGTGAAGCCTACTACCTGGACCCCATCTGAACCAGCTACCCAGCAGCTCTCTGGACCGTAGTAGAGAGTGAATACATAAAAAGGACATGACTGTCCCTGGGTAGCTGAAAGATGTTGCGAAGATCATGAACCAAAATCCATGTTCTCCACCAACAGGAGATCGCCAGGATCCCTCATGTAGAGCCTACTTGATCTTATTACACACATTCCTAACATGTTTATTTGGTCTTCAAGCATAAAACATACTATAGGCAGAAAGGAAGAAAGGCTGTTGGCAGCAGAAATACCTTTGAGCAAGACAGAGGTCTTTAGGAAACAGAACAGGCCCGAGAAATTGTGTGATGTCCATGCTCCAGACTGCAATGGCCAACAGCCCCACACTGGCACACCACGTGATGACATCATGTTCATCATGATGACCCCAGTCATTAAGAAAATGTTAAACTTTCATATACTCTATTGAATGAGGCAGAGATGTACATAATGTATTTTAGAAACCAAATAGTTCAAACAAAAGATCTGGGATTCTTTAATAAGGTTACCTCTCCCCAAGCTATCTTCAGATTCTCGTCTATTGGGAAACAGCTGTCTGAATGACTTATTCCTGAAGACTTTCAGATGCCTGGGCCTTTGCAGTACTGCGTCCCACCCTGACTTGATGACACAAATGTTCCTTGTACTTTGCTTAGCACCCTGCTCTGTGCTGTGCCTCAAGGGCATAGAGACGAGTGGAACCCAGGCCTGGCCTTGGAGAGGTCAGGCTTCACTCCCAGAAACACGCGTGAATGACCAGGGTGTGAAGGAGTTCCTCGTGGGGCACCAGACACCAGTTCTTCAGTGCAGGTCTCATCTGTGTCAGAGTGAGGTCGGATATCGACAAAGGGAGAGCTTCTAGAGGAAAAGAGGATGGAGAGTGGGTCTTAAACTTGAGCGAGCGTGAGAGGCTGTTTACAGTGCAGGCTCCTGTGCTGGATTCCAGAGCCACCGCATCAGAACCCGTGGTAGAGAGAGCAGGAGTTTGTGAGTTGAGCATCCCAGGTGAGGTCATCCTTGCCCCTCCTTTAGAGATAGATGTTTAAACGATGGGCAGAGGGAGATGAGCCAGCAGGTGAGCCTGGGACAGAGCACTCTGCGAAGCAGGATGAGAGGCAGCAACCAGGGAACGCAGTGCGAGTCCCTGCTCAGCCCGTGCTCCTCCAAAATCTTCATGCCTGCTACCTCATGACAGCCTCCCATCCCCTTGTCACAAATCAGGAAACTGAGGCACAAGTTAACAGCCTGGTCTAAGGTCCTCAGCTGGTGCGAGGCAGAGACAGGGTTTAGACTTTGCTGTCTAGCTCTGGGGCCTGCACTTTTCACTGCTGTGCTATTGGATCTGAGCTGACTAAAGGAGGCCTAGCAAGAGTTACTGTACTTCGAAGTCTGGGTTATAAGAGCTTCAAGGTGGCAGCGTCAGTGACATGATGGTGACAGAGGTAGGCTGTGTTGAGTTGAGGAGCTGATAGGATGTAAGGAAGAGACAGAGCTGTATTTTTGTAAGTTTAAGTTTGTGTGTGTAGTGTCTGCAAAGTCAAACAAACTTTTAAATATGTTGGTTACAAATAAATAACTGGTTAGTATCAAATAGTTGGCTTACTACTTTCTTTGTGCAAACAAACTTTTAAATATGTTGGTTACAAATAAATAACTGGTTAGTATCAAATAGTTGGCTCACTATTTTCTAGATGTTTTGGACACTCTTTAATGTATTTATTGTACTTTTCTCAGATTCACAATTAGCCCCATTGCTTGAAATTTGGAGGTCACCGGAAAACACAGTGAGCTGATTACTTGAAAATGTTACGAACATATTATTTAAGAAGTTGTGTTTCCCAACTTCACAGCACCCTGTACATCTCAAAGGAGGGGAAAGAAACACTGGCAGCCTTCTAGGAAGGCGGGATTGAGGGGAAGGCTTTTCTGGAAGAAGGGATGTTAAGCCTGCACTTGTAGGAGGAAGAGAGGAGGGGACCGGGGACCAGGGGCTGGGGACTGAAGGTTCTGGTGAATGTGAGGGGGAAGGGGAAGTTGAGGGACTCTGAGCTGGAGCTGGAACCTTCATTTCCCTTTTAGTGTTGAGGCAGGGTCTTCTGTGGAGGTGTGGGCGGATGCTGGGTGTGGTGGGTGGAGGGCTGAATGCAGACCTGGGTAAGAGCAGGGCCAGCCAGGGGGCCTGAGCTCTTGACCGCAGCTCCCTGCCTCTGGGACTGCCATGTCCTGGCTATGCCCAAGCCTGGCGTGGGGAAGGCAACTTCCCTGGGAGGCCTGCCAGGTCAAGCCTTGTAATTGCCTATGATCAGGCCTGAAAAATGCACATGCACACACCCGTGGTGGAGGGCTGAATGCAGACCTGGGTAAGAGCAGGGCCAGCCAGGGGGCCTGAGCTCTTGACTGCAGCTCCCTGCCTCTGGGACTGCCATGTCCTGGCTATGCCCAAGCCTGGAGTGGGGAAGGCAACTTCCCTGGGAGGCCTGCCAGGTCAAGCCTTGTAATTGCCTATGATCAGGCCTGAAAAATGCACATGCACACACCCGTACCTGATGTCATTGGCTTATATTCTTGATTCATGAATGGGGCAGCCTCCATTCTATAAAATAGAATGAGGGCTCTCACCAGGCAGTGGCAGAACAGTGAGTTTTGTAAGGTAGAAAGCAGGAAACAGAACAATAGGGTAAAAAGCTGATTGGTTGACATCAGGTGACTTTCTTTGTAAGGTTTAAAGCAGAGGGGACTTCCTTATTATGCTGACACAGGTAAATTGGAATCTCCTGTTTTCAGGAAAAACTGGTCTGTTTGGGAATCTACCTGCTTCCTTAAAGTTTCAGTTTGACTGTGTGGCATTTAGCATGAGTGACTCCATTTAGGTTTGTTCTGGTCTATTGGGGCTGAGTGCAGGAGCTCAGTCCAAAATGATGGTCTCATAATTTTTATTTAATACTGTGTGAGAGGTGGACTCAGTACACTTGTGCATCCTGCTGCCTGGGTGGGCCTTCCTCTTTTCCTCTTTTTCTCCCTGTGATGAAATCCCCTCTCTTCCTCTGTCATCTGGTCCAGTTTCACTTCTTCCTGTAGCTCTGCCTGTGACTCTGAATCTTTATAACTGACCCTCTAACACCTCACTGATCAGAGGTAGTCCCCGCAGACCCCACAATGCTGTGACCATCTTGAGGCTCCAGGCTTGTTTTCCTTTGTACCCCGGGCACTCACACCAGGCACGTAGAAGGTGCTCAAATGTTGAACAAGTACATGACTGGTAACACCAAAGGAAGGGGAACAGGGAGTATTGTCGAGACTGCTGGTTGCCTACCTCAATATTCCTTCTCCCTTTCTCCCTAGTAACTGAATCCTGATTTTTACCTGGTCACATTGCCATCCAAAATAAAAGTGTATTTCCCAGCTTCCCTTGTGACCAAGTCTGGGCAATGAGATTTAAGTGAAAGTGTTGCATGGGCCTTCCTAGGAGTCTCCTTAAAAGGGATGGGATGAGCCCTTCCTCTTTCCTTTCTCCTTCTTTGCTGCCTGGAATGCTCATGCAATGGCTTGCTCAGCAGCCATTTTGAGCTATGAGGCGACTTTAAGGCCTGAACCAAGTCTAGGATAATGCAGCACAAAGATAAGACCCTGGGCTCTTGTTGACCAATTCATCATATCACCCTGGAACTGCCACCTTGGCACTTCTTAGTTTTGGCAGTGGGGTGAGGTACCTTCTATTTTGTTAAGATCTCTGTGGTTAGGTCTCTGCTGCTCATAGTTGAACTTAATCCTAGCTGATGCATGGAGCCAGCTGGAGACGGGTGCAAGGAAGACTTGGATTCTGGTCCTGGTTTTCCTCTCACCACTATTGTCTATTTGCCTAGGTGAGTTGGTTACTGCCCCAGCCTTGTCTACATTTATAAAATGGGCTTAGAGATCACTGCCCTCCCTGCTGTCAGTCAGCACGGTCATCTGAACTGAATGAGGTCAAGTATGTAAAAATGGTTTGTATATGGCAAAATAATCACACATGGAAGGAGTGTGTACCACCTGGGTGAGCAGCTAAGCCCTCTGATTGGCCAGGCGGGGCTCCATGCATCCCAACCGGATTGAGCCAGAGTGTAATGGATTCCATTTGCTTATTGATCTCTTGGCTTGTTCTAGGGGCAGCACCGTTTGCTAACACACAACCTCCCTGAGTGTCACCTTGGTATATGGGAAGGGAGTGTTGTTGCAGTTGCTGGAGATGGCAAAGGCCAGAGAGGATGGGATGTTCCATCAACCAACCACTTAGAAGAATAGCGCCCCCAACATCCTGAGCTTTCTTCCAGAGAACTCGTCTACAAGTATGCGGCTGAACCCGGTGTTGCTGTGTGGTGTCAGCCACTGTTTATTTCAATTGGTGCATTAGACATGGCTACTCCCAAAGAGTCTGGGCTGTACTCACCAGCCTCCCTGTCCCACTCCCACCAGAAGAAACCTCTTATTATTATTAGTTCCCTAACCTATTGCAGATGGCCTTAAAAGAAATGCCAGAGAACAAAGTTTCCTTTGATGAAAGTATCTTAAGATGTGTCTACTCTCATTATATCCCAGTGATAAAAAGAGGCAAAAATGTTCTCCAAAGAGTAAAAAGAAAATGAGTTCAGTGGCATTAAGTATAATTGTGGATGCATTTGCTTTAACCTTGGCCTGAGCTGTAATAATATGAGCTTCAGTGTTTTGAGCACTCAGTAGGTTTCAGAGGTGATGTGAGGGCTTAGCACAAGTTACACCGCATTAGAGCCCTCGACCTATTTTACTAATGAGTTCACTGAGCCTCAGGGAAGTAAAGCAACTTGTCCAAAGTCTTATAGCTAAAAAGCTGGAAACCTGAGATTCCAACTACGTCCATCCAGTTCCCAAAGTCCAGTACTTTCTGCTGGAAGTTTCCATGTTTAGTATAAAGCAACATTTCTTAATTATGAATATAATCTTATGTAACTAAATTGCCTATTAAGGTGACCCTTTTGATCTCTCTTGTTATACTGACATTCTCCTTTCTCTGCGTGCTTTTCTAATGACTAGACAAAGCCTCAGAGGAATAGAGCCCTATCCCATTTTATGAAATTGTTTTGGTTTTCAAACAAAAATAGGTCTGTTGGTTTATCTTGTTTATCTGATAACCTAAAAACATTCATCTTCTTTTATTCTCACTGCAAAATAATGTGTCTTTAAAACGTACTCTGGCTCTTCCTTATTTGGGATGAAATGCATTTTATTTTGGTGTCCAGTTGGAGATGGCCATTATGCCAGCTGATGTCTGGTCTGCTGCTATACAAATAAAAAAAAGCCGGGCTTCAAGAACAAAGCTAATCACGATGGTTAGGAGCATGGACTTTAGAATCTGACGGCCCTAGTGACTTCTCAATGTCTCAGCTTCTTCATCTGTAAAATGGGAAAATGATGGATCCTAACCAATAGGGTTGTTCTGAGGATTAAATGAGCTACTCATTAGTAGAAAGGCAGCATGAATAATGGCTCTAAGTGCAAACTCTGGAATTTATCTTAGCTCCTTCGTGCAGGAGCAAGTTACATAATCACACTGTGCCTTAGTTTTCCACATGCATAAAATGGAGCTAACAGTAGTTTCTACATCACAGATGGTTGTGAGGATAAAATAAGCTAACAAGCATGTATAGCTGTTAGTGCTTATTACTCCAGAATCCTGGGTAGGCATGTAGTAAATATGATGTAGAAGTAAAGTGCATTTATATCCCAAAACTCAGGCTACCTACACTTGGGTCTGCACAGTGACAGCACATTGAAGTGACCAAGCTTGAGTACTATCACTTGCTCTCAAGAAACTTAAATCCTAAAACATACATGAAATAGATGGAGGAAAAGACCACACAAATATACTACACAATAAGAGTTGTTTCACCAGGTTAATTGCTGATGGGAAATACAATATTTTAATTGGCAGAACAAAACTTTCCTGTGGATGGCTGAATATGGTCCCCCAAAGTATCCAGGTCCTAATCTCTGGAACCTAGAATAAGGTGAATGTTACCTTATTTGGAAAAAGAGTCTTTGCAGATGTGATCAAGTTAAGGACTTTGAGATGTGAAGATGATTCTGGATTATCCAGGTGGGCCCTAAGTATAATCACAAGTGTCCTTATAAGTGGGAGACAGAGAAGATTTGACACGGAAGAGGAGAAAGTGATGTGTCCACAAGCCAAGGAATGCTGGCAACCACCAGAATCTGGAAGAGGCAAGGAACAGATTCTCCCCTAGAGCCTCTGGAGAGAGTGTGGCCCTGCCGACACCTTGACTTTGGTTCAGTGGAGCAGGGGACGGAGCGGCGGCGGAGGGGGCGCCGGCGGAAGGCCCGCCTAAGATTCCTCTTTTAACAATAACAAAATGATGCAGATGTCTACCACTTAGTTGCTGGAAAGCATTAAATCTCTATTTCCATCTGACAAAATCTTTCTTAATAATATAGAGAAGTTTAGGAGGGAACAAAGACAAAGAGTAAATTTTCTGCATTTGGCTGTCAGGAAGCTGGCTTCACAATCTAATGCAAAGTTAAGCCTGCTAGGAGCTGGCTGGACATTTCATAAGTTATTTTTTTAATAGGGTTTATTTTTTAGAGCTGTTTTTTAGGTTCACAGAAAAACTGAGTGAAAAGAACAGTTTCCATACAACCCGTCTCCACATACACAGCCTCTTCCTCGCTATCAACATCCCATAGTTTTTTACACACCTCAGAATTATTACTTCTATTGTGAAATTACTGCAAGAACATATATAAATAAGAGTGACTTTTATGATACATTAAATAGGGGTCAGGCCTTTTCCTATTAAAGTAAAAAAATACAATCACAAATCCTTACCACCCCTGGCAGCAGCAGCCCCAAACTTGAATAGGATCTTGTTGTGCCAGCTGCAGACAGCCCAGCTACAGGGTCCATGGTGAACCTCCATGGCAAAGTCTAATGACTCTGGGATTCTTGGAGTTGGAATGGGAGATGGGTTGGATAAGTGAGGTTCTGCAGATCCCATTCCTGCTACCTACTCACCCAAGTCCCGCTTGAACCAATCACTATTATATTTTTCCAGGTCCCTTTTTGGGACCAACAACTTGCCTTGGAGGGTCTGAAGGAAGTTTCACCTCCTTGGATGCCTTTCACTCACCCTCCACCGCCTTGCTGACAAGGAAGGAAGGACAATAGGAAAGGAAGAGTCTTGCTCAGCCACCATCTGGACAATGTCTCTTGCTGACGGCAAGCTGGCTTCCTGTGAATTATTTTGGTGGGCTGAAACAGGTTGACAGACTACTTAATTTTGACTTTTTTTTTTTATGATCACACACTTGGCTCTTTTTTTCTGACCTAAATTTTAACCACATAACCTTTAATCCTCCTCATCCCTGCTTACCATCATCCTCTTTTGGGCTAAGTTCGCCCCAGTCCTCCCATTGACAAAGCCCTCTCATCTGTTAAGATGAGAGTTGAGATCCACAATTAACCAAAAAGCTTTAATAAAACCTCCAGTAAGCTCAAAGCACTTGGCCAACATCCTCAGGAACCTTTAAGTTCCCACAGCCTCTCTTTGAGGTCACTATTGAAGTATCTTTGGCTGCAGCAGAGTCTCACTGTTTGAGGAATAGCCCTTAAGAAAATTTCCCAAGATAGTAGTTTTCCCATCTCCGTACTTTGTTAGTTAATGTTCTCCACTTGCTTGGGTTTATCCTTTCAATCCCTTTGCTAATTAAATCGCTGAAAAGTATATAGTGGTAAGAATAGATACTGTCAATGGACTGCAAACAAAACTCTTTTCTGTTATTGATGATAAACCATTTCAGAGAAGACCAGGCTGAATCTAAAGGGTTCAGGTAATTGTAAGGGGAAGGCAGAGAGAGTAATTGATGGCCATAAGACTTGGCTACTTCTGGGCAACACACGATGCTTGTTGAGTTAATGACCATTGGGACATAGGACTGGGCCTCAGTCTCTCTGTCTTCCTTTGGCCTCATCTCATCCTGCCTCCTTCTCTCTTTGACTACGATGGCACACTTTCCATAGGCCCTCTTTACCACATCACAGAACTCAGAGAAGAGGCCATGTTCTTCTTTGATACACAGCTCATCTCTTAGGAACATCCGATATTTCCAAGGCACCCATCCTTCACTACCACCAGCATGCACAATATACCAAGTTGGAGTCTGAATGAAATATCCATCACTAAAATCTTCCCCAGTTACAAGACTTTCTGGGATATCAGTTTCCCCAAAATATACAGTCTTGAATCCATCATATTGCAACATTCTCAGAGTTTTCAGATATTGGAGGCATTGCTTCCTCTTGATGCTATCAAATTGACTTCTGATAATGATGTTTCTTAGAAGAGGGTTTGCAAAATAAAGCATGGTGGCTCCTCAAGTGTTTTTAAAAGCTTGTATGTCTCTATCTGCAGAGATCTGGCAAGTATGGGGTGATGACCTCATAAAGGGCTTTCTTACAGCTGTGCCAGCCCCACAGATACACTTTGGATTTCAAAGCATCATATAACACATACTCAGAACAACTCTCTTCTAGCCTAATGATATGGGATTGGCAAATACTACTCATAGAAAGTGCTACTTTGACATCACTTCTGCAATAGGTCTGGGACAGGGGTTGGCAATCTTTTAACAGTGATGAGCTAAGTGATGTCAAAGTAGCATTTTCTGTGGGTAGCACTCATTCATCCATTCCAAAAATATTTACTGAGCACCTACTGTGTACCAGGCATTGTGCAGGCACCAGGGGTATGGTATAGTCATGACACATCCAGTGAGGCCTGGGCTTGTGTGGTGTATCTCTGCATATGCATGGACTTGGTGCCAGCTTCCTGTCCACTTGCACAATCAAGAGTGGTTTTGGCAGGTGGCAGAAGTAGGGTATGGCAAATAGCAAAGGAAACTCAGCCTGCACAGCTACCTTTCACTGGGGCTGCCAATCTTTGTGCTGATTCAATACCCCAGCTGGAAAACTCTTTAAATTTTATATATTCAAGCAAAATGACAGTTTGCTTTGACTTCTAACAGCCTCTTCACTTTTCCCCTTAGTCAGAGCTGAAGACATTTCATAAGTGGGCATAAGGGATTCCCTCGAAGACATGGATGAAATAATTTATCAGGTCCTTTTCTCTACTGTTGAATCGATGAGGATTTTTTCCCCCCACAAGTTTTCTTGGGACTCAAGTTTAGGCAACCCCAGACAGCGAGTAAAGTTAACATCTTAGTAAAGTTATCCATCTTAGTAAAGTTAACATGAAGCATGTGTTCCCCAAGCAGCCTCTCCCAGAGGCCAGGATCAGCAGGTTTGGGTTGATAGTAGACTTGTGGTCATTTTCTCTTAGGATTTTTCTTTTAGTAGTGGAAGTCATTTTTCAGACCAAATTTGATGTGGATGCCAAATACGTAGGATGGCAGCTCTGGTTGGAGTGGTCCCAGAGTTCCCCTGTTCAGTGACCCCCCCCTCTCTCCCACACCCCAAGGGACCCTATGGCCTGAAATGGCAGTGTGAAACCCTGTATAGTGCAATGAGGTTAACTCCAAGACAATAGTTCTTTGCCTCTGTCATCCAATTTGCAATTATGGATATGAGAATCTTGTTCAGAAGCATAGAAAAGTACATATAATATATTATATTTTATATTATCATATGTATGCATATTTGCTAATATTTTCATTTAGAAATAACAGAAGAATAAACCAAACACTAATAATGCTTACCTAGAAGGGGAAGGAGAGAGCAGGAGGGAGGGAAGAAACGAGAACTCTAGACTTCTCTGAATGTATCTTGTTTTGTAGTTTTGACTTTGGAAAACGTAAACATTTAAAAAAAATCAAAAATAAAAATAAGATAAAATGATTTCTAAAAAATAACCTAGCTACTTATCATGTCAATAACAAAATCACACACACATAAATTTATTTCAGATGACCCCAGAACATAGTATTTTCATTGTTTATTCCTGTGATACTGTGAAAATACGTATTTGGGACATACAACTCCTAAAATCCTTAGAATCTCTAAAGAGATAAGAGTCTTTTCGTATGCTAATGATGGCTGGCAGCCCCTGTGTAGCTTCAGGATGGTGGCTGGTTACAGGAAAGACCAAGGCAGGACTTTCAGTCCCATGGGCTCCTATTGGCCAAAGATGGAAGAATTTGAACATCAAAAGTAAATAATAAGTAAACAATAACTGAAATAAATTCAAGCAGAATGAGTGTACAAAAGTCTATGAGTTCATAATGGCACAAAAAAGGAAATGAAACAAACAGTAGGAAAAGTAAACAACTCATTAGTCACCTCTAGACATGCCTTTGGAGGGCACTGTTGCGTTATTCTGTCAATTAAAGACCAGAATAATCAAACATGTATCTTGCTTTCCTTGTGTGGATTCTATGCCACAGTAGAAAATGCCGGGGTGGAGAGTCCGAGCAGATGTCAGGACAAAGTGGTGGTGGTGGTGGGGGGGAACGTGGCCCCACTGGACAGTGAGGTGAAGTAGAGGTGATCTGAGCACCAGAGGTATGAGCAGAGGCGATAAATCCAGGGTCAAATCTCAGCTGCACTCCTCACCAGCCTCAACTGCCACCTGTACCCCAGGGAGGATACCTACGTCCAGGTACTGAGGTGATGACCAATGAGGGCGCATACCTCATCCGCCACACAGAGCTTAGTAAACGGCAGCCACATTGTTGAGAGAGGCTGGCTGGGAAGACGGACCCTAGTAACTCTGAAGAGATAAGAAAAATTGATGAAAGGGAAAGCGAAAACAGAGCAAAGCATAAAAACAAAGCAAAACTCAAAAAACAAAACAAAAAACCAAGACTGAGGACCCACGTTAAAATAAAATACATTGTCCTTTCACGGCAGAAATGGCAAATGTTGCCTCCCTCCATCTCTTCCTCAGTTTCTCTCTCTTTTTACCTCTTTGCATGTCATCAACAAATCCTGAGCGCCTCCAGGTTCCAGGCTGAGCATAAACCTTGAAAACTGTACACTCCTTACCCTCAAGGAAGGCGCCATCCTGTGGGACAGGAGAAGAGTCAACAAGGAGACGGGCCCTGCCTGGGGTTTGGGGAGGGTAGGAATCTTTAGAAATAGGGCCCCACAGGAGGGCGATTCTGCTGAGAGCACGCAGGGGAGACTGCGGCTGGCCGATCCTACTGTGAGAATCCGAAGATGGGCAGCCGGTGTATTTCAGCTGAGATCAATCCTCAAGGCTTGGTGTGGGGAATGTAACAGGGGAGCCAGGGCAGGGGTGAGCTACTGACAAAGATTTTTGTTTAACCAAATTTTAATCAAGTACCTGAACCTTCTTCTAGGCCCATCTGTGCACTTCCTTGTAAAATCCAACTTTAGCAAGAACTCTGCTAAGTGAGTTTAGCAAGAGCCCCTCCCCCATCTGATCACTCTTGATATCTGATCAGGTTCCTCATGCCCACACCATTCCCATGTGACGTCTGATCACTCTGGTCTGCCTTCAGCAAGAATCCTGCTAGGTCTGTGTATTAGTCCTTTTTGTGTTGCTATAACAGAGATACCTGAGACTAGGTAATTTATAAAGAACAGAGGTTTATTTGGCTTACGATTCTGGGACGGCTGCATCTGGCACAGGTCTCAGGCTGCTTCTACTCATGGTGGACAGAGGTAGGCAGCTGGTGCGTACAAGCAGATCACATGGCAAGAGGAAGCAAGAGAGAGAGAGAAGGTGCCAGGGTCTTTTATACAAACAGTTCTCGCGGGAACTAATAGAGCGAGATCTCACTCAGGCCCCCACCCCCCAGAGAGCATTAATCCATTCATGAGGGATCCTCCCCCATGACTCAAACAGCTTCCAGCACTGCCGCATTTGGGATCAATTTCCACATGAGTTCTGGGAGGACAAAACATCCAAACTCCATCAGTCTGTTTAGCTAGAATCCCCCTACTCCTGATGTTTCCTCTTAGTAATTTTCCATCCAGTGACCTCCACCCTGCTTTTTGGCTATAAATTCCCACTTGCCCATGCAGTATTTGGAGTTTAGCCCAACCTCTCTCCCCACTGCAAAATGCTGGCACAGTGGCCCCTATGCCTATTGCCACAGTCTCACCCTTGAATAAAGTCTTCCTTCCTGTGCCTTAACAGTGTCACTGAACAATTTTTCTCTAACACTTCCCTAAATCCCAGTGAATATGCCCCTGATGGCGGTTCCAGAGGGGACTGCAGCCAGCAAATTGGAAGATTTCTCTGTTGAGGGGGGTGGATGAGCAGGAAGGAGACACAAAGATGTGACTGTCACCAGGCAGAGGCAGGAGGGACCATGGCTGGATGCAAGAATGGGCATTTGAGTGAGGTCACCAGATACACTCTGTTTATATTTGCTCTGTACACTTCCTGGTTGCTAAGTGCCCTGTTTATTAAACCTCTATATGTGCCTGGGAGGTGAGAGGACTTCCTGGTATTTCAGGTATCCCCAGTGTTAAAAAAAAAAAAAATTAATTGGGAGGCCATGAGGCTGAGACATTTCTAGCGCCTTGGGTTCCTATGTAAACAAGTCAAAGCTCAACTCAATGTAGACAGTAAAATGGAACTTAAGCTTAGCCAATCAAGACTGCCAAACTAACCTCTAACTTGGAAATTTCAGCTTTAAACCATCAAATATTTTCTTTGCCTTGCTTCCTAGAACACCCTGTAAAGTTTCTTCTTGCCCCCTCGGTGGAGCACTGAACTGCTTGCAGTCTCCTGCTGCCTGACTCCTGAGTCCTTGAATGCTCAAATAAACTCCTTAGAATTTCAGTGTGCCTAAGTCTATCTTTTAACACCAGAAGGGCTGCACAAGGCGTAGGCAGAGGTGAGGGGAGGATCTGTTAACCCGTTAGAATTGAAATTTAAAAAAAAATTCTCATTACCTTTTAAGTTACACACAAAACAATGCACGTGTGTTGTAAATAATGTCCCACCAGACAGAATTGCTTGTTCCTGCTCCATCCCATCCTCTGCTCCACTCGCTGGAGGGAACCACCGTTAAAACTTGTTCTGCATTTATCTACTTTTCTGCCTGGATATACAAGTGTAGATATACATCCATAAATCGATGTTTGATTTAAAAAAAAAAAAAGAATCATACTCTATATTCTGTTCTGTAACTTGCTTTTGTAAATCTAACCATAACTCATGAACATACTGAAAAACCTTTATTTTAAATAGTTACATTGTATTCCATTGCATGACGGTGGTCAAGAACTATTTGACAAATCGCTCATTTTGCAGATATTTAAATTGTTTCAAGGTCTTTGCTACTTCAAACTGTGCTTTGATGAATATCTCCTTATAGTTAGAAGAGTATATGTATAGATATGTGCATTTGAGGGGTCTTCAAAAAGTTCATGA